ACCCATCATCACTTACCCCCATTATCATATCTAAAATCATCATTACTCTCAGATCCTTGACATAAATCTATATTTTTCCTTGAATCTCGATCTCTTAACCAGTAACAAGATATAATAATAATGTGCTTAATTCACAGTTGAACACTATCATATGCACCTGTTTCTACTAATCAGATGGTGTCAATCTCATAGAAATGGGCAAGGGACCCCAACAAATCACAACTGTACTCACATCGGTTTACTCTTAAGACGACCTCAGTCAACCCGGTACCCCAGCTACTTTGTCCGGTTTGTAAACTCGTGATGTTTTCCCCCCTATTATCTTGGTTAAAAGAATGCTTACAAAAGCTCGTAACTATCATTTATCAGCTTCTAAGGTCTTGGTCACTAACGCACTTTGTACCCTCTCTCCCTTGCAGGTATGGCCATCCAGTGGGGTGCCGTGGGTGATGTGGGAGCCTTCATGGTTAAGACTGGCTATGAACGAGAGGGACAAGCCATGGTAGCCACGTTTGAAGGTAATATTGGCTATAAAGGCCAACATTTATTCTTACAATCTGTAGAGGATTGCACGAGATGCAGACATGCATTTTCTAAGCATCTTCTCGTCAAGGGCATCGGTATGAGAGCACTGTGGTCTGTAGCACTAATTAACCATTGTTCCTTAATAAAACTAACTCCATTGTGTTGAGTTCTATCGTAGGGCTACATTATAATGCTGGCTTTTAGGATGTAGCAAATGTTCAAATAACAGTCAAGCATCAATAGAGAAAATATGAAGATTTCGTCTTTTTAAAACTTTTCGCTCTTTAAACAAACTCCATTGTGTTGAGTAGGTCTTCGTATAATGGTGGCATTTTAGGATGAAACATACTCTTAAATAACAGCCAAGTCTTAATAGAGAAAAATTCGTCTTTTGTTAAACACCATGTTCATATTTTTATCTTAATCTCTCAAGCCATGGGTCTGACAATCCAGAAGATGGACTCGTGCTTGCACGCTTTGGACACTTTTCTGCTGCTCAAGAACAAGACAGTTGTGGCATCCCACCAGCCGATTTCCTTTCAAAAGAGTCAGAACGGAGAAGGAGGAGGAGCCAAGAAATCTCTGATAGATTCCGCCAGCAAGGTCTTTGGTGAGTGACCCTCATACAGTACAAAGGGGTCAAATGGGAAACAGGCTAAATCATATTAATCCTAACACAACTTAGCCTATTTACAACGTTTAAGGATGGATTTCACTCGTTCTTAACTTGCTTTGTCATAAAAGTACAGTTTGTGAATGGTGTATTTGGTTTTTCGTTTGATTGATTCAATAGGGATATTCTACACGCATTGTTCTAAGTTAAGGGTTGGTATCCTGATTTTTTCCCCAAATGGATTTATCTTGTTTCCTTCTGACCCTGTTATACGTTTGTTTCCCACACAGGCGTATTTGTTTGCGGGTCAAGATCCCCCCCCCCCAAAAAAAAATCCCTTGTAGTATACTCACGCCAACATGCCATTTACAGTTTTCACAACCTCTATGTAACACACATGTAGCTATTCTCGCTGAAACTCATTTGTATCCTCAATGCAGACGCTTACAGTTACACTGAAGTCTTGTGTCTCCAAGAGATGAGCCTATAAAGTATAAAGTTGACGACATTACGACATCAACCTCGTATTGACAATGAAGCAAGACAACAGTATCATACAAATATCATCAAATGCACTTCTTCAAAAATTACCAAACACCTTCTTTGACATGTAAATATTATTTGACATTGAAAACAGTACTCGTGTTCTGTTACATTCAAGCTGGGAAAAATCTCCTACAGAATGCAATTAAATGTTTGCACCCAGTATTGGTTAAAATAACGCCTTACACCTTACGTACAGCATGTTCCAGTCACTCAGTTTGTTCTTACACCAGCATGAAAGCATTTCAAACATATTTCACATACCTGGTACGTATGTATTTCAACAAATTCCACATACGAAAAACACATTTTGCAATGACGATATCGGTGTCCCTCCTCTGCTTCGCTTTTGTCATTCTTGCCCTTCATTTTTCTTTCCATGTTGTATGTCTGTCTCTGTCAGTCTGTCTATCTGTCTGTTCTCTTTCTCTCTCTCTCTCTCTCTCTCTCTCTCTCTCT